CTCCAGATGCGGCCTCACCAGGGCTGAGTAGAAGGGCAGGATCACCTCCCTCAACCTGCTGGAGACGCTCTTCTTAACGCACCCCAGGATCCCATTGGTCTTCTTGGCCACGAGGGCAACTGCTGCCTCATGGTCAACTTATCGTCCACCATGACACCCAGGTCTTTCTCCGCAGAGCTGCTCTCCAAATGATTCCCCTCCTGTGGTAAATGGATATCCTGGCTGCAGAGAGCCAGGTGGCAAGGGGATCTGGAGGCCACTGAGTCTGTAGCGTTGCCCCAGGCAGGATCAGCTCATCTGCTCCCTGCAGGTGTCTGTCCAACCCACTCACACCCAAGTGCTGAAGGTCCACACCAAACCCTCCAGCGCACACAGCTTCCAAGACTCACCATCACCAAAGCCCTCACGCACCTAAGACCAGTTTCAGGACAAACTAGACAGTCCCTGTCATGTTCTCCTGGTGCATCTATAAAACCAGAAAGTAAGACAGAGACTGACACACTCCACTGCAGCAGACTTGCCTGGTCTCAGGTAGCGCTTGACGATCAATTCGTTCTGCTGCTGATCTCTTCCAGCGATAATGAGGTAATTCTCAGAACTAACGAACCACAGGAACTTCTCAAACCTGCCAAATTGCATCAGTATGTGAAAATTGCATTGAAACATGAAAAACAACTGCCACTAGAACTGCGTTACAGAGGCAGGTTTGTACCAAGCTGAGAATACCCAGCTTGCAGCTACTCCTTGTAAAACACTCTGCATCAAGTTTCATATCCATCAGATGTCTGCAGCATGAAAACAGGGCATGGGGCAAATGTAGCAACAATGTCAATGATATTTTGAAGTGACATGACAAGCACTGTCACCACAAAGGCCATCTACCTATTTATTTTAATAATTTTGTTATTTTTAAAAATAAAGCTTTTTGTAGTCTTAATATCCACCATTACTACTTCAAAGATGTGAAGCTGCCAGAGAGTAATATAGAGTAACAGCAATCGAGAGTACTAGTGAAGTTGCCTATTTTCCTAGCACATCTTCCTAGCACTTATCAAGGCAAAAAAACTCAGCTAAACTGCAAGGCCATGTCCACAGTGCTTTTGAACTTGAACATTCACAACACTTTAGACAACGACAGTGAAACTGTACTTGCCAATAGACTTTTCTTGCTTTCTGAATGGTGGTAACTGTCTGAACTTCCTTCAGTGTCTGCTTTGTCTTCTTCTCAGCAGATTTAAATGCCTATTGAGACAAAAAGCATGACCCCAGGTTCCCAAAACAGGCATTATACAGCTGCTAACCCAACAGCAGGATAGTTAGAAGGAAACTTCTATTTTTTTTCATGGTGCAGCCTCTACAAACCACTATGCCCAGGCGTATATTCTTTTCATACACATACAAAACATTAATCCTAAAATATTCATAAATTTTCACTTTGTATAGCAGGCCCCTGAGAACAGCAATGGAGATCCTTGTGGCCATATAGCAGATAATTCTCTACTCCTGTCTCTCTCAGTTCTGGTCTCCCAGTATCCCACCCAGGAGTTCACAGGGCTACTGATGGAAACCAGGTGAATCAGTGGGAATCTGCAGCCCTCTACTCAGTGATCTTAACAGCCCAAGAAACAACGTGACCCTGGTTGGCTGATTTTACCTTTTGTGTCTCATTAGCACTACCTAGACTAAGTCTGAATTTTCCCTTTACCAATGATGGGGGCTTCACTTTTAAGCATCTTTTGAGACCAAAAAGAATAAATACCTTCTCTGCAGCTTCCACTGTCTTCTGTGTTTTCTTAGCTGCATGTCGTTTGTGATCATAATACCTGTGAAACAGAAATCCATTTACATTGGAAATCCTAGCACCTCCACTCATTTCTAAGATGTACTCATGATTTTGGGATTTGTAATAAATATTTAGTTTTGAGGAAGTAATTTTTAGGTCAGATCTTTGGCTTAATCTTCACCCAACATAAACAGCCAAATGCAATAATTTCCTTTTTCAGATACACAGAGCACTCCATTTGGATTGCTGTGTGACAAAGAGCCATTTTGTTTCATGTGGCTCTGCAGAATTGTCCTCAAAATTAAATTAATATGACAGCAACAGAGAACCTGCTATGTAATAGTGAGGTACTGTCCTGGGACCAGGGAAATACACATCTTAGAGCTAAGGACATCTATTTCAATTTCTAGCTTTTATACTTTTTTAAAGAATATACACACGGGGCCCTTCCTTTGATGTTATCACTACTATAAACCACAAGCATATAGAAACTTCTACGACCAAAGCACATGCAGCATAAACCTTACTTTTTGGCATTGGCATATGCAGACAAGCTGAGATCAACATCAACCAACAATGGCTTGTTTTTCTGTGGTTTCTTCAACTGTTTGTTTTTATTCTTTTTCTTTTTCCCTTTTGTTTCTTCTGTTTCTTCTTTTTCCAACTCAGCATCCTCCTCCTCCTCTTCCTCTTCAGATAACATATACGGGTTCCTAAAAAAAACATGACATCATACTGATTAGGGTAAGAGAACTGCTTATTTGTTTTACCTTAGCACAATGCATTTGTACTTCTATTCTCTCATGAAGATCAAAAAAAAGCCAAAAAAATCCTAACACGATTTTTACTGTGAAGTTGCAGGAAGGTCCCAGGTTGCCCTACATCAAGAAGATTCTGTTTTAGAGTCAGACAGTGTTTCAGGGAAAAAAGAAAATAAATAAAAGCTAATAATAATAATAAAAAAGATAATAGAGATGAAATCTTCCCATCCTTGTCAAATGTCACCAAGGAGGTGACATTTCCCAAGGCAATTTCTTTTTCTTTTAAAACCTCCAGTCACCTTTACAAGAGATGAACGCCTCTTGTAACCAAAGATCGAAATCAAAGGAAAAATGGGCTTAAAACAAAGAACATTTCTCAGGATCTCTTTTCACAGAGTAAGAGAAGAACAAAGACAAATATGAGACCTTCTACGCCCAACTGTCATGTGAAACGAGGGCAGGTACATTGTCACGCACATTTGGTGAACATGACAGCATGGCAGCAGTTTAATGTCTCATAAAAGCCCTCTTCTGCTGTCTTCAGAGAGGTATAACTGAACAGAGATCAGCTGGAACTATTTCCTGCTCACCAGCGCATTAAATCCTGCTCAACACAGCTTTGCTGAGCCTGTGTAGCAAAAGGTGGTGGAGCAGCATAAAATAATGTTTTTCATAAAGGGAAATACATCTCCCCAGTCGCTTGTACTAAGGATGCACGAGGCAACGTTTGGTGTGATGTTAATCTGTGTGATCAGCAAAGTGATCGTTATTCACTATAAAAACTGCCAGAAGTGAGACTGACGTAACACATGACTGTCAACACAGAACTGACTCCTGAAAGCAAGTTAGTCCTGGAATATTAACAACTTGATTGGAAATAATTCAACTAAACATTCATAAGTTCATTTTCCCCTATCAGGACTTTCATAAAGGAGTTTTTTAGCCATAAAAAAAGAAATTCTCACTTCTGTATCTTTAGCATCCCGATACATTGTTGGCTCAGGTTACATTGGATCTCTTTCAGCTTTAGTGCAAGATTACGGGTATGCCATATTTGACAAATTCATACTGAAATAAATCCCCACCTCACCTGCAACGTGCATGCCATTCATTATTTCATGGAAGTTTTTGAGACGCTCAGGTGCTGCCTCACAGCCAGCTCTTTCATCAGCACTCCTCCAGAAAGCAGGGAGCAGCAGCAAAACTGCATGTTCTTCTCATGTCAATACCAAAAACACTGAATAGCTTAAATACCAACACAGAAACTAAAGAGACAATTGTTGCCTGCAATGCACTCACCTCAGCAGCATGGTGATATGATTTGTCTGAAGCTTTAGTTCTTTGATGGCACTTGCAACAGGGTCCCCCTGTGCTTGAGCTTCTTTTACAATTGCTCCGATCTCTGTCCAGTCTATCTGGTTGGCTAGTGCGCTGCGAACCACCTGGATGGCTCTGTCAACTATCTCTAGGTTCATTTCTACGAGTTCTCCTTTTATCTTATCTATTTCCTTATGGAAAGGAAAAAAAAAGTTTATCTCCATTCAACCTAAATGCAAACTCAGCAACATTTTTACAGATAAAAGTGGTAATTAATATTGGGTCAAAAGCCAAGAATGGCATTAAAGCCATCACACAAGGCTCCTGCAAGCAGTGCTCTGCAAGCCACACGTGGCAAGGAAGCCACCAAGTGCCTGCAAGGGAAGGGAGCCCAACCCAGGCTCACTGAGGGGCTGCAAGGTGCTCGGGCAGGGGAAGGCCTGGCTTTGGGATCCGCTGCTGAGCACAGCTGTCAGGACCAGCGGGTGCAATTCCTTAAGAAATATTATGTAGCTCCCCAATTGAAGAAAAAACAGTCCCACCTGGGCTTGCTGAAGAGCTTCTAGTCGATGCTCATGATCCTTACGGACATTTTCAAGTTTCTTCAATGCTTGTTTTTCCTTTCATAAACAAATAGGATTTAAAAAATAAATACATTAAAAAAACCAGCATGTTATTTACTCACGGTAAATACACTCAGCACAGCATTCCAGCTAAGAAAAACACAACAGCCTAAGGGATGCAGAGAAGTTTCCAAAGACCTGCTCTCCATGTTACTGTTGTATTCCAAGCAGACCCAACCACTGCACTGGACAGCTTGAAACCTGCTCTGTGGCCATCCCTGACTCAGTATCTCCATTGCAAGAATAAGTAACCGACTCCTCTACCCCAAGCTAAGTGGTCCAAATGCCCTAAAGAGGCATCTGAAGCTCAGAGAGCCCCCACGGCTGCTCTGCTCCTGGATGAGGACATACCTGCTGCAACGCTTTCAGATCGATCTTCTGCCCCTCTAACTTGGAGTAGAACTCATCTGCTGCCTGGAAGAGAGAGCCATGTCTAAGGTCTTCCATGGTGCACTAACCTGTACCACCACCAACAGAAAAAGTTCTCCTCCTGAGAGGTGAGGGCAAAAGCATTAATGTGGGGATCAAAGCTAAAACAGGGTCCAGTGTCATCCTTGTTTTACCTCTTCGCAAGGTCAGACCAGCAAGGCCCTCTGGATGTCTCATCTTCAACTGGGGACTACTGACATGGGTAAATAACTTGCTGAACTGGAATCCTTTTTCTGTGTCACAGAGCCATAGTGACAGGAGGAATCTGCTGCTTCATGCAGTGTATTCTTCAGACTAAACTACTACAGTTAAAGCCCTGTCCACTCTGAATCCCTGCTGCACCAACTGGTAGTTCAGAGCAAAACTAGAAAGCAAGTTTAGGAACTACTGAGTGTGGTGCAATAGCTGCCTACACTGTGCTTAAAACAAAAGGAGAGGAAGGTTTTAGGCTGCTTAGACCATTGATACTGAGAAGGAGATAACAGACATCCAGACAAGAAGCAGGACAGGAAAGTGAAGTGGGAACTCTGGAAATCAAGGTTAGGAACAACACACAAGTAATGATTAGAGACAATGTCAGCAAGCCAAGGAGCAGGAAGGACAACACTCAAGGAAATGCTAAATCAGTTGCTTGAACCTTTCAGAGCAGTCACAGGACAAGCATAAACGTGCTGACTGTTGGTCTTCAGCAGTAAGTCAGCTTCTGCACTCCCAGGAACAACAAATGTGTCTGAGCAGGGCTGGTTAAGAGGCAGCTCCCGTGCAGGCTCCACACAGGCCTGCGGTCAGCGCCTCGTGCCCTCCTCGAGCTACGGATCTCACAGAGCTCACACTGACAACACTGCCCAGGAACAGCCTCCAGGTCCTAACCTGCTTGGCCTTTTCTGTACAAAACACTTATCCATCAAACTTTAGTTATCCATCAAACTTTAGTTACTTTTTCCAAAGTCTATGTTTTCATTAATAACTTCAGCACTGTGTTTTAATTGTGCTCTTTAGCGCCAGTCTATTAAAGCACTTAAGTACAGTATCAGCAAAAGCACTGTACCTTATTGAATGAGTCAAATTCCAAGTACGGACATTTTGAATGTTGAGAAAACAAGAAAGGGTGAAATTCCTCATATCTGTAAAATATACATTTGATATTATCACCTGAAAACTAATTTAAGTTATGCAGACTAGTAGAAAAGAGAGCAAACACTCCAAATATTTACGTGTAGATATCTTCGGGTGGTTTATCTGGTTCCAAGCTTGGCTTTTTCTCCCTTTTCTGGATAATATAACCCTAAAATAATACATAAATAATCAGCATTTGCCTTTGAAAATGATCCCTCATCCCCTTATCTTCGCAAGACAGGAGGTTTTTGGTGCTAAACTCACTGATCAGCACAGAACAGTAATTGGTTACTGAAGGGAGAACTTGTAGCACTAGCAAAGGTGATTCTTCAAAGAAGACCCACCTTGCCACTGAAGTTGTCAGTTAGTGTCATATATTCTTCTGCTTTCTCTAAAGCACTAAGCACTTTTTCAATATTTTCTAAAGAGAGAGGAAGGAGAGGAGGAAAATTTTAAAACAATTAGAACAAAACAGTATTTTATATAAACATAGCAAAATAAAAAAAATACCCAAGCAATTGTACATCCAGTTACCCACATGGAGAAGTCTGTTCAACCTACCCATGTCAACAGGAAGCTCAGGATATCGTGCAACCTTGGGAAACAACCTAAAAGCAGCATCCTAGTACGTCTCAAAAATAAAACCTACATATCCTTCACGCCTGGTGCTTCACTACAATTACTGTTTTCTTTGAACAGGAGCCTCATGACACACATTTTCATTTGTGCAATTTTTAATATTAAAAAAATATGTATTTTGATACTTTTTTTTCCAAATTCTATTAAAACGAAAACATAGATACACTAGCACCTTATAAAAACAAAACTATGGAGGCCAAGGATAAGCTAGGAGCTGTGAGAAGTTATTTGTTTGTTATAAAGCCATTTTACTTCAGCACCACAATATAGTAGTTAGATGCAAAAAGTCCTTTTGATTTACGGAAAACATAAAAGCACTCAAGGAAAATAAGACTATGAAAAAAAAATCTATTTTGACTTTACTACCCAAATCTAAAATTCATAGATAAAAGCTGTTACTTTATCAAATCCCCACTATGTCTGCCATAGTTTAATGGCAAACTATGAAGGATTCTTGTAAAAATATACCTCTCCTCAGCCAGAGTTCATCTCCAGTTCAATATAATACCTCATTATAAAAGCATTTAGATCATAAGAGAAGTCCATAATCATAATATTCTAATATATACACAGTTCAAGAGGTATAACAAGAACAAGCCTAATCTCCAACCTAAAAACATTACAGGATGTAACCATATGGTCTGAACCATAAGGTTTAGGGATTGGTTATCTCTTTGGAAAACAAATACCCTCAGAGAGGCAAAAACCATTAAACATGTAGGACAGCCTTTATAATACTACCTGCTACATACCTTTCTTTTCTGTATGTTCATCTATTTTGACATAACCAGAAAATCCAGCTTCTATAAGGCAGTGCTCAATAAGAGTGGCTCCGTAAGCTATAAATAAAGAAATAAATAAAAGGAGAATCAGCTGAAAACCATTTACAATTAATTCTATACTTGCATAGAAAACACAGAAGTGCTTTGATAAACTAAGTCCACAAAACTAGCCCGTGCCTAGAAAATTTGGGTAGTGCAAGGGAGCCGTGTCCCAGCAGGTGGCAAATTCCAGCAGCTGGGAAAGCAGGAGACCACCATTCCCATGGGGTGTGCTCAGAAACACTCACTGGCCAGGCACAGCAGCCAAGTCCCAGCACGTGGCTGACAAAACAAGGTCTTAAAAACCAAATGATGCTGAAATTCACCTGGAACTGGGCAAGGTCTGGGGCAGAATGAGGATGTACAGGAAGGATGGGCTTCATCCGGGTCAAAATGGACTGAAAATTTTTAAAATTAAAAAAGGAGCAGGGAAGTTTATGAGTGTAGGAAACCCAACAGGGATGGAAAAGCATCTGGCTTGGAATAAGATATTACAGAGTGTGAAGTCAAACAAACTCTTTATCTTCAAGCAAGGGGAAGGGGAAGAGCTGGCAAAGTCAAATGTGAGGGGACAGCGGAAACGAGTGCAGCCCCATTCAAAGAGGGCGAGGAGGACACCACAGAAACACCACCTCCTCCAAAGACCAAACGGGAACTCTGAGAAACAAGACAGGGCAACAGAAAACCAAGCTCAGCTGATAACAAGCAAAGCAGAAACAGGGAGGAAGGAAGGAAGACGATCACCAGAACAACATGGCATCAAACTCAGAATGAGGTAAGAGACCCATAAAAAGGGTCCTAGAGTCCAACCAAACCAACTACCTGAACAAACACTTTTATCACAAGAAAATGAGAATCAAGGCTTGTAAAATCAAGAACGTTGCAGCATCAAGGCTACAGAATCACCTGCCTGAGCAGGGCTGCTACTCCTCCTACTGAGCAGAAGAGCCAAAAGACTGTGCAGGTCAAAGATCGGGTCGCTCAGATTTCCAGCATCCCAGTCCAGCTGATGCCTGAGCAGGGCTGCTACTCCTCCTAGTGAGCAGAACAGCCTAAAGACTGTGCAGGTCAAAGACCAGCTCGCTCAGATTTCCAGCTGGGTGGATGTCGCACCAGGATACAGGGCTGAGACTAAAATTTTAAACATTAATGACAACTCTTATGAGGCAGCTATTTGGAGAGCTTGAGGGAGGAAAAGCTTCTCTGATTCACAGCATCTGATTCAAGTATCACTGCTAGAGAGCTACACTGTGACAAAGGCTATAATGCTCTTAAATTCAACAGCCATTCCAGCACAAGGGAGAGAAAAAAAAAAAAAAGAAAAAGAAAAATCCACTCCAGGCATGCCCAGATCAAAAGGAAGGACTATGTAAAGCAGCAGAGACCAAACTATTAGCCGTAGATTGCAACATCTTTCTTGGCAGGAGAGGCAAAGGGAGGTTCATGCACTGGCAATACAAACGGGTGGAGCCCTTTTCCCCTTGCCTGGGAAACTCCCCGCTCCAGTCCTGCACACACAGCAACAGGGCTCATCAGACTATTCCCTACCACGTATCTGGGACCAAGACCTGAAAAGCAGCTCTGTCCCTTTGCAGAGGAGAACCTTGCTAAGCCAACAGGGTCTAGGCAACCACATCGAGAACACTGATAGGTGATAGCACCACGAATATCAGATTTGAGTACTGATAACGGCAAAACGGAGACCAGTGACAGATCATGCATTTAGGAGGAGACCAGGATGGAGAAAGGGAGGGACAAGGATGGTGAAAATGAGAATTAAGATATGGGAACAGGGCTACTCAGGTCTGCACACCATGTAATCGGGACTGTTTGTGGGTTATTTACCCAGCAGCCCTGCATTTGATCAAAGCACCTAAATCTGGACAATAAACCAAACTTACTGTTGGGACTATGTCACACAGGTCAAACCTGTTTCTTTGGTCAAGAATACGAGGGACACGGTGCGCTTTGCCTGGCTAACAGGGAACACCCCGAGGCACAGGCAGAGCATCCCAGCATCATCACATTGGTGCCCATTCCATGACCAACGGCCAGGCACTTCCTAAAAATATCCTTGCCCTATCTCTTACAGCTCCCACTCAACACTGCTAGAGACAAGACCCTGGAGTGAGAGCTCCAGCAGAGCTATTCCCAGCTCCTCCGCACCTTCCAATCGTAGCAAGGCCCATGTCTCATGCGGCTAGCTTTGAATTTACAAGATCTTATCTGCTTTCAGAGTCATGGCTTTTTGTTCCTTTGTTTTTCAAATATACATAAAACCAGAATGTCATGAATAGTTCCCCCTCACCCAAAAAAGACTGAAGCTGTTCAAACTTGCACCTCTGTCTAAACTTAACATACACTGTCCATGTCATTTTGAAATGGAATGTGATGGAATACTTACGAAGATGGGGGTTAAGAACCCTCTTCAGCTGTTCCCCTTTGGGTGCATTTGATATTATTTCAGTTAACCTAGGAAAGACAATGTTGAGTTGTTACTCCAAAAAAATGACAAACAATCAGTTTTATTCACTATCTTTTCTTGATGAGAGGCAACGAGACGTTTTCATTTTTATTAAAAAAAGTGCAAAAAGGCCTGTAACATATGAAAAGACTATCCGAAAATACAGCACTACTCCCAGTCCAAAGTAACCTGGATTTATTCCTATACGTACAACATCTAGTTACCTTTCCAAGGTCGGCAGAGGCGCAGGTGCTTTGGCAATGTCAAGCGGATACCGCTCCCGAACGGCGAACCTGACATCATCGGCCTCGTCCGTGCGGAACCTCAGGATGTTTAAAATGACATATTCGTGGTCCGTGAGGACAATGTTACCCTAAAAACGCACCACAGGTCACCGTTAGCAAGGGCCGTGCTCGAGGACGTACACTCCTACAGAGCACACGCGGGGGCTCCGTGCTTACCCTGTCATAGAGCTCGATGATGAGGTGATACGCGGCTTCGTCGCTTCCAAACTGGAAGTCCACGATCCTGTCCACACCCAGCTGTTTTACACTGACAAGTCTCCTCGTCTTCAAATGCTTCCGACACTGTCGACAGAGAAAACGTCTGTGAGACCACAAAAACATGATATTTAACTCGCGGTATTTAACTCTGAAACACATCTGCATTTTACCTCAACAGTCCCTCCCGTGACATTCTGACCACTCCTTACTTACTACAGACAAATACCAGAAAAGGTTAAAAATGCTGATCTTAGTACTACAGAAAAGAGACAGCTCGTAAAAAAAGAGTAATATTCTGGATGATATTGGAAATACGATTGTTTTGAATTGTTATTTTTGCCATAAAGAACTGCTATTTGTAGATGTGACTTTCTCGAAGTAAGGTCACCTACTCCATCTCAATCAGCAAGAAACTAGTTAAAGATCAAAGGTTCCCTTTCTTTGAAAGGGAACCAGGATCACCTCTGCATCGACACATGATGTGGAAAGATCCTTAACAATTTTTGCTGACCATTTTAACGAGGCTCCACGCAGAGGGGCCTAGTGGATCTGTATAATTCAGCACTCGGGCTGCATCCAGCAGATCTCCCTGCAGAAACACATCCTAGCAGCTTGCACCAAGACCTGAGATGCCACAGCCCAGCGCTCTGTGCTGTGCCTGCACAGTGCCTGTCGATCTGGACAGTGCTACTGCAGCCCTAAGACTGGACTGAAGCACAGCCCTGAAAGGTGTGCGTGCCCAGGAAACATTCAAGAGACTAGTTTCGGTCTTCAGAAAATCACATTGCTATCATTTCTGGCACTAAACATCAATGATGTGACTCCAGGTCCACATTTGCTCTTCGTTTTCATTCACTTGTTTGACCATGACCCGCCAGGCAAATCCTTTCACTGTTCCTTGTGTTTTCTGTTTCCTCACAGAACATTAATGTTGTTTCCTGCCACTCATGGGGGTTTTCAGAAAGCAGACACAGGCCACCTTACCTTCATCGCAAAGCCGGAGGGCATCATGTTTTTTGGCCACTCGAACTCCGTTGTGTGAATGCGTATGCCAGACTCGAGCAGCAGCGTGGCCTTGCAGTCTGGCCTGTTCACAGGACACAGAGAGGTGAGAAGCCACCCCACACCGCCCCGCACCACGGTGACACCAAAGGGCCACCACGAGCTGCTCACTGTCCACACACACACCACTGCCTACCACATCCCTCTGCGGCCAGGCTGGCAGCAAAA